TATGAAGGGCCTGAAGTGGAAAAATTCCGAGCAGCAGTTCAGCTTATCCATGAAGAGTTCATGTCTGTTTTCTAACGGAACGTCTCTTATTCTTGGAGAGTTATTATCTTCCATGTTTCCGAATTAGGAAGAATTGTTGGAAGCAAAATCTATCTCTGCAAGATTAAACCGCAATAGAAATAGAGTCATAATTTGCAGGCATTTCAACAAAGACAAAACCCTTAAAACAACAAAATCAACAAAAACACCAACGCTACAATTTTTTCTTTTCTTTATCAAATTGAGCTCAACTGTTTTTCTTCCCTTCTCCCACGAAATACAGAGATGAGAAGGACAAATTTCATGAAACTGCAATGCATTTATCAAGTTGAACATAAACCTACGCTCTTTTTCTTTTCTTATCTCCGCGCAGTTTTCTCGGGAAACAAACACAAATCCAAGAAGAAGGATGCAGAAGGGTACGTACTTACATTAATCGAATTGAAATTAAACCCTCCTCCTTTCTTCAAGTTTCTCTTTACCAACAAGAAGCAAATTTTCATGAAACATGTAAACATCTTGCTCATAACTTGCACAATGGATTCTGTCTCTGCTAGATTAAACCCCATTAGAAACTTGGTCATAATTTGCAGGCACTTCGGCCAACACAAACCTTCAAATGAAAAGTCAAGAAACAAATGCAGAATCACTGCAATCTTTTTCTTATCTTTATCAAATTGGACATAACTCTGTTTTTCACTACGAAATACAGAGCCAAGAAAAGAGAAATTTCATCAATCTTTTCTTATCTCTGCGCAGTTTTCTTGGGAAACAAACGCAAATCCAAGAAGAAGGATACAGAACCGTTAGAAACAAGAGAGGGGTACTTACATTAATCGAATTTGAAACTAAACCCTCGTCTCCTTTCTTCAAGTTTTTCTTCATCAACAAGAAGCAATCTCTAATGAAACATTGAGACATCTCTCTCACATAAGAATATACAGAGGAAAAGCAGGGTAGAATTAAGGAAAAGAGCTCAAGAAACTTTTACCAAAAACAGAGTCATTGAATTCGGGGTTACCACAATATGGCTAGAACTGGTAAGCTCTGTTCTAGTGTTGGTGCCAAACTCCTCCTGAGTAATCTAGATATATTGGAGCAAACAAAAACATTGGTCGGAAAATATTTTCTGGCAACAAAACGTACCTAAATGGTAAATATATACAATGAAAAGAAGAGATAGAACTCAATTTTATACAAACATACAAGAGCTTGAGATTAAAAACTCAAAAGGCATGCAAAAACCGAAACATCCAAATTCAAGAGCACCAACCTGAAATAAGACTATAGAGTTTTGGCAAGTGTATCAATCTCATTGTGAATACAATTGGAAAAGCCAAAATTGACAGAGCAATGCACTTACAAGAAAAAAACATCAGTAATCCATACGTGAATCTAACAGTTTGAGCAATAAGTTACCAACCAAAAGCTCGACAGCACCATTAAAACATAAAATTAACTCAAGAAGAGAAAGAGCATAACGATGAGAGTGAGAGACCCACCAGGGAACTCCAAATGGTCATACTGATATCTAATTCAAGCTTCAGATTAGATTAGTCCTAAACTCGAAATTAAAAGAAGAAAACATCTGAACTTACATTTTCCAAGTGAGAAGAGAAATCACTAGGTTCAAAACTCTGGAAGCTGAAAATTTTTAGAAAGAATCGAGAAACAGAAAAAATCAAAGTACCTGAGCGTTGAAGCTTTCTTCAACCTTGCTATATGGCACCATGAGCAAGTAAAATGCAGCTATGGATCCCAACAGCAAGTCGTACACGAAGGCC